TGAACGAAGACCAGTTGTAGTCCTAAATCAGTTTCGAGCTAAAATAATTATAGAGACTCTAATTTTTTTATTATAATAGGTAAGTTAATATATCGACATCCATGACTTCTCTCTCATACATAAGTCTTGTCTTGCTTTGTCTAGCTCGAAGACAGAAACATAGCTCCATACAGACACGGGCGTCCAATCTTCAAACCGCTCGTCATAAATGATGTCGACGCTCGCGAGCGATAAACTGTCTCCGAGCCCATGTTTTCGTATCGCTTGAATTTCGATCTGCAAGGTAATTGCTTCATTGTGCTCAAGATGGCCGCAACAAAGATACATAGGGACTATTCTGAAGACGTTCGACAATTTTTATTTAACACTAGCGGCCGCCCGCGACTTCGTACGCGTGAATCCCGTTTTTCCCGCTAATTCCCGTTCCCGTGGGAATTTCGGGAATTCCTTTCTTAGTGCACCTCTACGGTACCTAAGCTACGTCCCTTCCAAATTTCAAGTGCCTACGTTTAGCCGTTTAGGCTGTGCGTTGATCTGTCAGTCAGTCAGTCAGTTTCTCCTTTTATATATTTAGATTCGCCAGCTGCTGACTGGACTGGAGTATGGTAGGAGTATGGTACTCTGTCTGTAGTTAGTATCTTTAAGTATATGACTATATCGGTTAAACTAGGCACGGGTACGCCCCATTCTTGAACCTACTATTAAAAAGTATCTTGAACATGATAATTCGTGTGAATGGCTAGTATTGAGACACGATCGCCACTAGACAGGATGCGGGAAACTTTTTTGTTTTTTTTTTTATAAAATTGGATGCTGCCGTGTGAAGACGCCATAAGTGGCGCATATTTATATTTATTCAAAATTATAATCTTGGTGTAGGGTACACTGATGCCTCTTGGCTTGGAATCTAAATAAAAAACTATCAGTACATACTTACATGTGCTGTCCTTGAATTAATAAAAAATTAAATATAGTTACTCGCAAACGGATCTGTGTCCACTGTGGCCAGGTAGTATATGTATATCTTTATATCCTTTCGCTGAAATTGCTTTTTTTGGAGTCGAACGATTAGCGCATCGCCCCCTGAACTGGTCTGCCAGCGGTGATTTAATTTGTTCCCGGGATATTTACGAGCAGTGCCTCCACCTCGGGCTTTGATGTGCCGACAAATTGTCCTCCGATCGCGATAACATTTAGGCTAAGGGCACACCGCATGCCTAAAGGTTGAAGATGAGGTTCAAGGGCACATGTTGGCAATTTTTTTCAGTTTTCTGACCTAAAATAGACGTCATGGTTGTTTACTACACGTATGCACTACAAGAACGCGTTCAAAATTATTTTTAGTATACGTATGTAAGCACTGTCCCATTTGTTGTTCCGATAGTGATAGGCTTAAAGTAATGCTGGGACGTGTAAAAACGCTTTTTAATAGACTATTTGCTGAAAATAATTAACTTTACCCCGGAAAAAAATTGTGTCTACATGGAAACAATGCAGTATTTTTTAAAATCAATACCTACTTAAGTGTGTGTGCGGTGTAGCCAACCCCTTAGCTAACTAGTTTCTGGGAACCGATTTCAATCTTCGCGACAGCAATCGATTTACAATCGAAATAGGTATTCGATTCGAATGACATGAGAATTAATTAGTTCTCGACGGGCTCAGTTTGGTCCGGTCCTATTATTGTTGTTCGCTATCTTGATCCTGCCCTTTAGCAGGATTCAAGTTGTGAATTTCATAAGTATGCATGCAGGTTCGGTTCTCATAGGATGCCAGGTACAGAAATAACAGGGATTCTAGTACCGCTTACACTACATAATTATGATAAAACTATATTTTTTTAATACTTCCTATTTCTCCTGAATTTTCCTGATACGTTTTCCTCTGAAAATCAATATTATGCATATAGGATGCGTTGTGTCTGAACCTATTTATCGGTCACAGCACAGTTCAGTCGGTCAGCACAAAGCGCACGCGTTACGTAATTGTAAACAGTGCGATGCACCGCTCACCGCACCTCGCTAATGCGATTAAGTCGTCTAATGCGCGCGCTACTGGCTCACTGACGAGCACTGGCACGCTTACCCTACTGCGTGTTACCTGTAGCAACTTTATTATAACCTGAGAAGGTATAGTTGTCGTATGCATTGTTACCATTGTTCTAAGTTAATCGTCACGTAATTTTTCATGTTGTTAATGCGCTAAGTACTACTATCATCAAATGAAATGTAATAATTTAAAGTAATATTATTTAAGCTAGGCTATGTTTTCTGACAATAGATTTGTGTACTTCTTCTCAGCACTGGCATTTATTGTCCCGAAGCAGTGGTAGGGTTGATATTGGGACGTGTAAAAGTACTTTTTAAAAGCCTATTTGCAAAAATAAACAATTTTATGAGTTTTTATGGGTTTCATTTAAAAGGCAGGTGTATCATAACAGAACAAGCTTAAATTTTTATTTGATTGGTGTGTAACTATTTATTTATTGAACTTATTAACACCACTAGTAATGAGCCCCTATTTCACCTATATGGAGCATGCTTATTATCGATAAGTCGTGGCTGCGATCGATCAGCGGCGATAGAGGGCGGGCCAGAGGTGCCGGGTTCGATGCCGGACCCGACTCGTGAAAGTTTGGACCAAATTGCTTCAATAAATCCATGAAAGATATGAAGCGATTTATAACGTGAAAATCATATTTTGCGACGATAAGATTTTCTATTAGGTGCATAAGAAAAACTTTGTATCATTTTAAATCGAATAATTTACGTTCACGCGACGTGACGGTTGAATAATTATTATAACATCGTGATACTTTTTCACATTTATTTTAGACTCGTCTTTATTACTGCTATCGATACCATAATTTATAACATAAATAATTAATAGGATTCAAGATTCGGCAAACTTTTTAAAGATTAACTGTTTAAAATCTTACAATTATACTTGACCGCAGAATTTCTAATTTATTAATAAAACATCAAGCATCAGCAACGCACGATCAGTTTTACCAACATAATGTTTAGCGTGTTGTGGTCGATTGGCCGCCATTACTGCGGCTGTGTTACCGGCTAATTAGAAGAGGCGTGCGCGCGCGCAAAAACGCCGCGTTTGTAACGGGGCCCGTTAGGCCGAGGGGGCGCTGCACGTAACCGCAGGACCATTCCAAATGATTCAAAATCAAAATCCTACTATATGCGAAAGTTTGAATGTCTGGATGTTTGTTACTCTTTCACGCTAAAACTACTGAACGTAGACTTTGATGAAACATTGTTTATAATACAAAATATAGGCTATAATTTATGACGATCTGTGACAAACGAAAAGTCACGCGGGTGAAGCCGCGGGGAAAAGCTAGCCAAAAATATTTTTTTAAATTTAAACCACTGGTGGCACTTATGACCGTCAAAAAGCTCTTAGGGGGCACTTTACATGTATATCTATATTGATGGAAACATTGCTCCAAGTCCAATTTTTGATCTTTTTCTCCTGTTGTATGAGTTACATAACAACTGAGATGGTGTCAGACTTCATGTAACGCCATTGCTGTCTGTCAAACAACAACAACGTGCACTGGGTGGGAAACATGGAAACTTACCCCCTTACTAATAAAAAGTTATACAGTTGTTGAACACTGTTTTAAAATGTCATTTCCATACTAAACGACACTTTAAAACACTGTTCAACGAGCGTGTAAGTTTTATTACGAGTAGTAAGGGGGTTAATTTTTAGGGCAGATTTTAATTTTATTTATATGTATTGTAAACTAAGTTGCAGTACAACATTTTTAGGTATGAATCACAGGTATTTAGTAGTGATATACTAGAATAATATTAATGTAATAAACAACTTTTTATATTCATAAAGCTGTTTTAAATAAGTATCTAGATCTCTCGCCCGCCGACACGCGACTGTGTCTGCGGCTCATAAACTCGCGTTGTTATGATCTGTCGGCGTCGATGCGCTACACCGCCGCCGACAAGTTTCACAACACCAGTGTGCTTACCATGAGTTGACGTTATGTGTGCTCGCTAGCGACTGCGTAAAAAAATGACATTAATTGTATGACATATTGTGCAGCGCCCCTAGCGGCTACTTTCAAGAAACAAAATCTTCATAGAGATTTTTGACGTACTCGCTAGCGAGCACACCTGATGTAAACTCATGGTAGGTACACTGTGCTCTGGTTGGTAAACAGCCGATGATTCCCACAATACATTTATACATACTCTGTTAGGGTAGTAGTAGGTATACAAGGCTAGGCAAGGCAATGTAGGCTGGTGGGTAAATGGATTATGAGACATGTAGAGGCATGCAAAATATTTGACGATTTAGCTATCCACAGTATTAAGAGTACTTTCCCTCCAGGTGGCATTACAAAATTCCACGCTGTATAATAGTCTATCCAAATAAAGAAATTTTGACTTTGAACACTAGCTGTTGCGGAAACAGCTAGTGTTTATATTACCTACTACTAATTACATATGTTAATAATTGGCTTAATGCTGATTTCAAATACGAAATTAATTCATTAGTATTAAATTACATTCAATCAACCAGGTGGTATGCCATTTACTTTGTGACTGTAATTATTTGATTTATTATTATTATTAAAAAGGAAATAAAAAAATTGTATAAATTAAATAATCATTAATTTGTTTAATTTTAATTAATCAATAATAAGGTACATAATTAAATGACTCGCTAATTTCCGAGCGCGTTGATGTCTTTTGTTCATATTTTATTTTCTACTGAATAAATTATTCATAATTTAACAAGAGAAGACAGGAAGAACAAATAAATAATAAAAAAAATACTTTTATTTTTCACCAAATACAAAAATATCATTTTTTTAATTACAAATTAATTACAACATTTGTTGACGCTGTTTAGGTGAACTGGAGCCACTAGGATAATCCGGTACGGTATTTTAGGACTCCAGGTCTCTTACCTGCAGTACGGTTGTTGAAGTATTGAGCACGGTGTTTGGTTGTCCCCAGGGATCTCGTACCTGACCGGGGAGAACTTCCTGGACGTGCTGGACAACGGCGCGGAGCTGTGCCAGCTGGCCGCCGTGCTGCACGCGCGCGCCCGCGAAGCCTTCGACCAGGGCCTCATCGTGGGGGTGAGTACCAAATGATTCTTCTGTGCCAAAATCAAGATAACTAAGGCTGGATTGCACCATTTTACTTTAACTTTGACAAACGTCAAAAATCTGTCAAACTCCATACAAAAAACACCGGTTATCGTTATAGTTACGGTCAAAGTTAGGTGGTGCAACTCAGCCTAAGGGTTTCTAAGGATTATCTTTTTTATCAAAAACTTATTTTAGAACTTGAAAAATTCAACTGCCTCAGAAATCTTCATTCCCATTTACTGCTCCCTCTATGCAAGTTACTTATACGTAAATATTGATATACCCATCGCTTTCAAGTGTATTTTTGATTCTACGCTATGCATGAGCGAGATAAAGCCATTACGGACGATTCATCAATGCAGGGTAACGTTATGCAGTCTACCTAAACCAGTGATTTTCAACCTTTTTCATGACACGACCCCCCTAGTATGAAAAAAATTTTGGCGACCCCCCGACCGTTCGCTTTTTTTTTCATGCGTTTTATAATGTCGCAAAGATTTTTGTAGGGACCGATATTTGTATAATTAGATTTCGGATTAATCTGTCTTTATAAGATTTTTTTTACTGAAGTATTTTTTACGACCTCTCGCGACCCCCCTATAGAATAATAAAGATCAACACAGGTTGAAAAACACTGACCTAAACAGTCACTCGATACTCGCCGACCCGTCAACGTGAGACGTTAACTTTATCGGCACGTAGGCAAGTGTCGTTCAAGTTGGAAAACTTTGTCGGCGGTATAAAATTAGCAACTGTTATAATGCGCATTTTAAAATTTGATCAATTATAGCAACAGCACACTTTCAGCAATTTTCTAAATCACGAGTAAAGTCTGTAGCTTGGACGCACTCACCAGGTCAAGTGGCCATCAGTCACAGCAATTATCTACTTTTTCTTAATATCGGGCGCATAAAGCAGTCTTTTAAAAGTCTGCCACAGGGCTCGAAAGCCAGATAATTGCAAGTGAGGTCTAACCTTAACCGGAATAAAAAAGATTTTCATAATAATTCATCATTAAAAAGGATGCCTGGGGTAATGCAAGAATGCAACATGATTCTCTCTTTCTTTTTTATCAAGAAATTTTTGAAACATTGTTTTATCATTAAAATATTCATAAAAACCAAATTATCTGAGCTCAACATGTAGGTTATTTTCCAGAACAAAAGTAAAAACTTCTACTTTTGTAAAATTTGAAAATACATTTGGGCTATAAGGGTCGTGCGTGTGCTCAGTTGAAGCGGTGGATATAACCGAATTCGTTCATGATGACCATCACTTCATCAGTAAGCAATCGTGTATCGTGTCTCCAGCCGGTGCCTGCGATCCGCGGGCGCTACTGGCAGCAATACATACAATAAAACATAGGTAGCTTACATGTGATTGTAAGAGTGAGTGTTGTCAGTGAGCTCTCACTCCACCTGTACATAGTGGACAAAATTGTGATATTGTCCTCAGCCGGTGCTGTGACTATAATGAGCGACGATGGTGGAGTTAAACCAGTCATAACCGATGTCATTCGCATATTCATGATCCTTACTTTGTCAGTGAGTCCTCAATCTACCTCTACTTGACCATATGATCATCATATGTATGTCCTCAACCGGTGCCACATATCCGCGGGCGCTGCTAGCACCCACAGCATACACTTTAGGTACCTAATTTGTGTTCAACTTGTGATATTGTCCGCAGCCTGTGCCGCAATTCCGCGGGCGCTGCTGGCAGCCATAGCATGCACTATAGGCACCTAATTTGTGTTCAACATTGTGATATTGTCCGCAGCCGGTGCCGCAAATCCGCGGTCGCTGCTGGCAGCGCGCGGCGCGGCGCAGCTTCTTCTCGCGCGACAACACCGAGAACTTCCTGACCTTCTGCCGCGACCTCGGCGTGCACGAGAACTTGCTGTTCGAGAGCGACGACCTCGGTGAGTCGATGATTAAATACCATTGTTCTCAAAATGTACATTTAATTTTTTGGGAAACATAAAATGTAGACTATACTGCCGAAAAACTTATTAAAAATAGAGATAGTTAGATCGATTGATATTTTGATTTTGTAAGCATGAAACTAACTCCGCGCTAGGAGCTTCAGAGATTTAGAGCGCTTTCATATTAGGGCGTTAGTAGCGCGACTCTTAGAGAATCTAATGAGCACGACTGCAGCGCGGCAGCGGCGTTTTTATAATGTGAAGGCATGCATCCGCTGTCACATAGTATGAAATTTGCGGCAGCGCGTCTGTCACGCGTTTGTCGCGCTGCTAAATCGCCTAAATGTGAAAGCGCTCTTAATCTTAACCAGAATCAGAGACTTTAACGTCGTGCTCGTAGCATTTCTTTTCTTCAGCTATGTTCGTTCACGTGATCCATGATACTCACTCTGCCCCATCTGTCCCAGTGCTGCACAACCAGCCGCGGCAGGTGATCCTGTGCCTGCTGGAGGTGGCGCGGCTGGCGACGCGCTTCGCTGTGGAGCCGCCCGGGCTCGTCGCGCTCGAGAAGGAGATCGCGCTGGAGGAGCGCGACTCGGGGCTCGACTCCGCCGTGTCCGGCGCCGCCTGGCAGTTCCGCGACGCCTCGCCCGTGCCGGACGCGGACAAGTGAGTACCGGCACACGTGTCCTGCAGGACGCCACTCGGGGCTCGACTCCGCCGTGTCCGGCGCCGCCTGGCAGTTCCGCGACGCCTCGCCCGTGCCGGACGGAGAAAAGTAGGTTTACCTGTAATTAAAACTTGTGGTGGTTATTTGTGTAAAATGGTTCCTTTTAGGAAAGCTTTGGGTGCCTAAAATCTTATAGAAATACTGATGATATAATCCTCTGCCCCACCCTATTCACGATGCCCAACTTGCTTGCTGCAGGTAAGTAGCATAGTTCTTTACAAAGTAATGAAATTTATGAAGCGTCTATTTTACGTCGCAACAAAAATCTAAACTGCACTTCATCATTTACATCTTGATCTTACTTTATTTGCTACTGACAGACAGTAGACAGCTTACATTCCTCATAGATGTTTTTAGAAGTTATCTAAACCAAAACTTGTTCTTTTCAGATCTACAAGCGTTCCGCCGCCATCTTCGCCTGAACCTAATGACTGTAAGTATACTCTTGAACTTGAATCAATGTTCTTCAGCAACTGATTAAGTCCTCTGTAGTCTAATGCTGTCATTTGGTGTAATTCCAGCGCAACTGTCGGTGCCAGACAACGTGGATGCGGAGAGCACGAAGTCGGAGGAGACGGTGGCCAGTACGGATTCCGACGTGCCGCTGAAACCTACCAATGAGCTCGACAAGAGGGTAAGCCCTTTGCACCAGAAGACTCCTAGGTCCCTCTCACCTTGAAACTTAATTCATCTACTTAACGGATATAATATTTGTTAGATCTCTTCCATCATCCGCACTGCTGAACATAAGCCTTCCTCAATGATTTCCATAACGACCGGTTGGTAGCACCAGCAATACCAGCATCCAGTGCCTTCCTGCTACCTTTATGAGGTCGTTGGTCCACCTTGTTCAAAATACTTGGAAGCAATTAAACTCATGCCCGTATTCACCATCAATCCCTAATTTTGAAGTGATCCATATGAAAACAAAATTCCTGTTATGTGTTGCCATAGGGCTCATTTAAAAAGTAATTTTTGATAAATGATAGTGAAAACGGGCATTGTCTGTCATTGGACTCTTGTAAGCACGCCGAAACGGAGTGAAGACACCGTTTTAACTCGTACAGTACTTGCAGGTTCATCTGGTTTAATTCGCTAGAGACAAATAGACAAATAAATTCAGTTTGTCATTCAACTCTTGTGCTTGAATGAAGAAACATCAACAAAAGCTGTTCCTTCCAGGTGCAGTTGGTGACGCGTCTGATGGAGCGCGGCTGCCGCTGCGGCGACGGCAAGTGCTCCAAGCTGCTGAAGGTCAAGAAGGTCGGCGAGGGCCGCTACAACATCGCCGGCAGGAACGTCTTCATCCGGGTCAGTTGATGCAACATTCTTCACAGCATTCCTTGTGATTCGAAAACTTAGGCTGAGTTGCACCATCTAATAAGGCCGTAACTATAACGATAACCGGTGTTTTTTGTATAGAGTTTGACAGATTTTTGACGTTTGTCAAAGTTAAAGTAAGATGGTGCAACTTAGCTTAAATGTTCATCTCCCCGAGTAGGCATCGATAGTAGAGATTGACCCGCGAGTAGTGAGTCAAGTACGTGCGCATATTCTTCACCTATTGTGAAAAAAAATTTGCGATGGAAAGAAGAAAAATATGCGTGTGGTGCGTTAGATGGCGACACAGTGGCTTCTTATAGCAATAAATCCCTGTCACATCGGCACAGTACCGATTACTGACGTATGTAAACGAACCGGTGCTCGACTCTGAGACAAGCTAAAACACCATATCGTGGACGACATCATGTCGTCGATATTTTTAAATACCTTCGCGAAGAAAACTTTCTGGACTTAGTACATATTATTCTGTGACAAAACTAGCAAAAGCAAGAATTCTAGATCTGAAAGCTAAATTTATGATTTTTAAATACCTTCGCGTAGAAAACTTTCTTTACTTAGTACATATTAACTGTGATAAAACTAGCAAAAGCAAGAATTCTAGATCTGAAAGCTAAATTTATGATTTTTAAATACCTTCGCGTAGAAAACTTTCTTTACTTAGTACATATTAACTGTGACAAAACTAGCAAAAGCAAGAATTTTAGACCTGAAATTCTATGATTTTTTTACAGCTGCTGAAGGGGCGTCACATGATGGTCCGCGTGGGCGGCGGCTGGGACACGCTGGAGCACTTCCTGTCGCGGCACGAGCCCTGCCAGGTGCGCCTCGTCACGCCCGGCCGCCGCGCGCCGTCCCTGCCCGTCCCCCTGCCCTCCCCGCCGCCCTCCCCCTCCCCCGCCAGCAGCAAGGCGTCCGTCGCCGGCACCGTCTCTCCCATCGACAGCAAGGCCTCCTCCCTCAGCGGACAGTTATCCCCCATAGATTCCAAACTCGGCAGCACTCGCGGCTCAAGCAAAACCAGCAGCGGCAAAAGCTCCCCCGCGCTCGAACCCCGTCGCACGTCCACCCCCACCAAGCCTGCTCCCGTCCGCAGCCTCAAATCAACCCTGACCCTCCCCCTGAAGCCTGAAGACAAGAAATCAGCCCCGCGCACCAGGAAGCAATCAGCACCGTCCAGCTTCAGCACCCCTAACACCCCCACGGGCCGCGCGGTGCGCACGCCGCCTGCCGAATACAGGAAGTCGCTCACCACCACCAGCCTGCTCGCCACCCCTAAAAAGTCCCGCAGCATGAGCCTGGCGACGGCCCCGAAGGAGGAGAAGAAGTTCTGCGGGACGGACCGGCTGAACCAGGCCAAGAAGAAGAGCATCAGTGCTGCCAGCACGCCGACGGAATCTCCCGCGGTGACGGCGCGGAAAACCCGCAGCCAGAGCCTCGCCTCCACGCCGGTCGAGACCAAAAAGTCGTTTTCCACCGCCAACGGCTACGCCAAGAAGACCCGCAGCATGAGTCTCGCGACGCCCACGGAGCCTCTGCGGCCGACGCACAAGAGCCTGTCTCTGACGGGCAGCGGAGCCTTAACGCAGGCCGCCATCGAGGAGAGCATCCGGCTGTCTTTAGAGGCGACTATAGCTGATAACTCTTCTTCCAAAAAGCCGTTTCTGCACATCAAAGCCAAATACAGGAGTCCCCCGCCTCGGGAGGTGCCCCCCAGATAACTCCGGAATCATTCCAGTAGTGTATAGTGTGACGTGGCCGATCTCCTCACTCCGCAATCTCACGTATCGTCTCGTAGCGAGTAGACGCTTAATTTAATTCTCACATTCATGCCCCCCGGGGACTAGTCATAATGAATTGTTTTAATTGTAATGTTATAATGATAATCGGTTAGTTTTAAGCAATGATAACGATGGCAATAATGATTCAGATTATATTTTGCATACCTTAGGAATTATTTGTTTGTGAATTTTTTTCGTTATTTATGAATTAGGTTACGAATTCTCTTATGTTTCATCGCCATAAGTAATTTTAGTTTTTCACCTCATTATTTCGCAACGTTGTAAATTATTGTAAGTGTAGTTGTTTTCCGTACTTTTCTTATTTTCAGCTGAGTTAGACCGTGCACTTGTAAATTAGGAATAAAGTGGCCTCACAACACTAGCGACCTCTATGGTACAAATACGTTATATCGACACATCCTATATTTTGATACTGAACGAAAATATTTTTGCACTGACTTGATAGACGCACTAGACACGGATAGTACCTAGCCCTAGTAGAGTAAGACCCTATGGTTGTACCGTTGAAGGACCTAGAATGTCTTTATTCGCAAGATATCTCCACCTCCTCGACTTCTAAGCCTATTTACATTCTGACTTCACAACAGACTGTTCTATAGGTTTTCTCGAACTTAGAATCTTGTTTCTTTTCGCATTGAAGCGACTCGATTATCGAATTATTTATTGTATCGATCGACGAGTCCTAGAATTAATATTTTAACTATTCTCTATTTATTCTGCGAAATTGTACGAACTATAGCTGAAAGCCATATTTATTCTATTTCTGCTAATTATTTTATCAGAGCGACTTTGAATAAAGCTATCAACGAATAGAATTAAGGAAGTTGAGATTACCATAATCTAATAAATTGAAAATCTGCTATTTTCATACATACCAAATCAAATAAGATTAAATAAAAAAGAGTGCTTAGAGATAGTGGAAATGGCAGATTTAAGTAGTTATACAAAAACATTTTGAATCTAAAAGAATATCAAGAATGAGCTTAGCAGTAGCAAGTTTTACAATAACGATTACTTATGATGAGCGATGGTGATTCAACTGCCGAGTGCCGACTACCTACCTATCTGCAATATTGTGCCAACAGTTTTAATTATGTATGGTTGATAATAAAGTTTTTAATATTCGGTAATGCCTTGTAGTTTCATTCTAATTCTTAAGAGCGTTTACGCCGTTTGGCGCAAAAACAGTACTTTTTCAACTCGTTACAATCATTAACCAGTAATACTACAAATATGTTATAGGCATAAATAGTTAGGCAATTTCGTCGTCTAAATAGTTAATTGAGAAAATATTGCGATTAGTTTAGTATTTAAGAATTCTATCAAGATAAGTCCACACAGGTTTTGTAAATTTCCACTTTAGCGTCAGTTTACAAGCTGAAATTTGTATAAAAATACTGTAAAAACGATTTAACAAACATTTATATCCTATAGCATAGATCCTTGGGCAAATAGTTATCTGAGAAATTTTTTAGATTTAAGCATTTTACAATAAGAAATCACAAATTAAAAGAACGTGAAATACCCAAAAATCAAAGTGATTTTTTCACCAATATTCTTCCTTTATTAAACACAAAAATAGCTTAATATAATAGAAGAATATCTTACCTTTTTTTTTGTTTCCAGAAGCTCTTGATAGGATGGAAGCCCATAAATACTCTCTGAAGCGAGAATGAATCTCAAATTGCGATATTGCCATTTTGACAAATTACATGATGTAACTAGCGCTAACGTTTATCTTCAGGTAGACACAGTTTTAAGTTAAAAGATTGTCTACTATTTCACTCTGTTCTTCGTTTTGGAACAGTTCTTTAATTATAGGTAGTCGCTAATTTCGTTTTGTTAAACTCTTTCAGTTAAGCACATAAAGCGTAAACTAATTCCTCCTCAGAATGATCTAAAAGTGTTAGAGAGCGCCTCTTCTTCTGCAGAAGAAGAATTTTGCATAAATCTTCAAAAGATTTTTTATTTATACTAAAAGTCGATGGTTGCACATCTACTTCCGCAGTCTATGCGTTGTGTTAACTCGGTAAAAAACATTGTTTAAATCTATATTTTTACAATTCGGCCAGACAATTTCAGAGTCTAGCCAATGCAAATTCTGGTACAAAAATGTCTTTTGGGCTCTGCTGGAAGCAGACCATATCTTCTTTGATATATTTCTTGTAAAATTACGACTCAATAATTTAATTTTGATAATTACTCAAATCTTCGGAAGACAATTCAATGCCAATACGTTCGTCATTTTAGTCTGAAATGGTCTGGCCGAAATGTAAAAATATAGATTTAAACAACTGTTAGATCATTCTGAGGAGGAATTAGTTTACGCTTTATGTGCTTAACTGAAAGAGTTTAACAAAACGAAATTAGCGACTACCTATACTTAAAGAACTGTTCCAAAACGAAGAACAGAGTAAAATAGTAGACAATCTTTTAACATAAAACTGTGTCTACCTGAAGATAAACGTTAGCGCTAGTTACATCATGTGATTTGTCAAAATGGCAATATCGCAATTTGAGATTCATTCTCACTTCAGAGAGTATTTATGAGCTTCCATCCTATCAAAAGCTTCTGGAAACAAAAAAAACTTGTTATCCTTCAGAGAGAGATGATATTTGTGTGAGTTATCAATGATGGACATATTGTAAATTGGGCAACCTCTCGTATAAGCTACTTTTTGACGGCCAGCGGACCTATACATACAACTGTAGGGGCTACCCACCTTCTGGTAGGAAGAACCCCACATAACCCACTAGCTGCCCCCGCAGCTGGTGGGTATGAAATGTTATGCATTTTCCGGATAAAAAAAGAATAATAAACAGGAAAAATTTGTTTTGAATAGAACCGATTTGAAAAAAATCTCTCACCATTAAAATTCTTTTTTTTTTCTGCTGAACATAGGCTGTATAAAATATTCTCAAAATAGTAAAAAACCTTTGATAATTTACTATTTGATAAAGAATTTACGTATTTATTATTGATTAGGACTAATGTATACCATTATTTATAATTATGGAGTCGGTGCTGGAAGATTTGAAGATTTTATAGTTTCCTTGAGCTGTCACTTGACAGCCTGGTACACTTTTACGATGGTGGATCAAAGTATTTTGGTTTGACTATAGAGCGTGAGAACACGCACACAGTCATAATTATTTTAGTGTGAATAAAAATGGCATCGAAATTACCTAAACTTGACATGCCACGCTAGACGTAAACGCTCTTAATTTCAACTTAGTTATTAAGGGTTAGAATATTCTACAACAATACACGGGCAGGCTCTGCACTGCACGATTTTTCACCCTTTCTAGAGACATCAACATGAGATCCCTCATTTTACACATTGTTTTATTTAAGAAAAAATAAATTTCAGCCAACGTCCAACATATTTTGAAACGTCGTGGCAAAAATTGAAAGCAATATATGGCAATAACCAAGTCTTTATAGTGGCGCCCTCCTATAAATGTAACAACTATGTGGTTGCCTTACGTGGCAAAAATCGGAACTAATCTAGTATTGATAGTAGCGCCCTCCTGTCAATGCAAACTTGTCACGTCTTAGTTCCCATTCGATAAAAATAAATGTATTTGAATAGTCTATGGTAAGACTTTTTTGTCGTTGAAATCTCAAATCTATGCTTCGACAAAGATTTTCGATCTACCCTCAGTAATTAGTAATTTGCTTTGCAGGTAGAATAATATCGAAGCTTTGACAGTCACTTGTGCCTGCTTTTGGCTGGGCTACTCTAAACAAGATTGTGTTGCAAAACTTCTAATTTCATCGTAGTATTAAGCTATTAGTGCATCATAACTGCAATTCAAGCGACAAAGTGCACGTAACGTAAGTGCGCCTATTAACGACCCCCCAAAATTTGTATTCTATTACCGCCCTATTTTTCTTTCTTTCATAAAAGACATAATAACAGGTTCCAGAAAACACGTTACCTAAAAAATATCTAGATATGTTTATTGACTATCAAATTGATTGAAGTTTGTGTTCGTAAATAACCAGTAAACGAAATTATTTGATATTAAATGGGACGCGCCCGCAACGGATGCACTTTTCATACTGACGCGCTCCCAGCTACTTAAGGTGCACCTTGTTATTAATTAGCGATTTTAACACATTTAAAATGAGTATACCAACATGTTTTTGCACAACAATATTATTTCGTACTTTAGTTTCCTTAATAAACCCTCAATATAGCCCTCTCGCTGTATTTTTGTGGCTTAAATACAATTTTAAATAAGGGCGGTAATAGAAACACTTTCAATAATTTGGTTCCTAATAACGACCCATGGCGTTGTTAGAATTTTGATAACGTTTTTTATTTTAGTGTTTATATCTTTAATTACGTATTTAACCTCCATTTTGTTATCTTAATCGATTCATAAGAATATTTCACATAATTAAATCAATTAACGCCATACGTTAATTGTCATAGGTTTGGCATAAAACTGCAATGAACATTAAAGAATATCTCTAATAATGTATGACAATAGATTTTGTAAAAACCTGTTTAATTATAATTAGTACCTATTTGATATAAAATAAAACCTAATAAATATGATACTTCACTGATCATGTCTTCATTAACGTAGATATTTTAGCTGGTTACTAATTTTTTTTACGGTCGCTAATAGAATAAAGTAATATTCATACTTAATTCTATTACCGCCTCATAACTATAACGCCACCTGCGAAGACTTATAAGCCTGTATTTTGTATATAACTAACATTTATGACATGACACCAAACCAATCATGCGTTATCACAACTACTATGTAACTTTTTAAGATCTTTTGAATAATAAAAAAATAATTTAAAATAATTATACAGACAGTGTCCAATTGTCCATAGTTTAAATTAAAATACACAATTACACACAATTAAAATCAATCAAAAACTAATTAAAAATTATAGTCAAATAAAATATTAAATGAAAATTAAATTTTATTAAAACGCAAATACAGTTTAAATAATGACCCCCATTACTCACTAGAACACCGGGTACCGCGTAATCAAGTATAATAGAGGAATTTATTATTCTACTATTTCTGCTTGATTATTTATTTATTTTCGAAAAGCGTGCCTTTTCTCTTTTAACAAATTTAACTAAAACTAAAAGCAAAACAAATTTAACTTGAAAAAATCAAGTGGTTCCCGAGCCTCTAAGCGGGAATCGAACCCGTGCCTCTTGGAATATACCCAATTGAAGAGCAATATTCTTAGCGGTCGGTAATAGAAACAGAAAAAACGTTAATAGAAACACACCTCGTCTATAGGTCGGTAATAGAAACAACTGCTTTTTCAGATTAAATTGCTATTTATTAATTAATGTGTGATTGTATACTCATTGTTACTACTTGAATTCAAAGATTACTTCATCATTGTTATTAATAAATTAAAGTGTCTTTTCTATCACCACGTCTTATATCTAATTTTCTAACGTTTATCCGAAGTCAGCTTAAACTGGCGGTAATAGGCGCATTTACGTTATGCAAGTAAAGCCATCATCATCAGCAACTGTTCACAAGGTGCACGGGGGGCATTGTTCACAACACACAGAGCACGTAATGGAAAAAAATGTGAGTAACATTGTCACGATTTTTGTAGTCTTATTTTTCTTATTAGTCTTATTTCAACAATTCCTGGATTTTAAAATCGTTTTAACGACAGATGTTAAATTGCGTGGGTAACTTGAATATTCTAAATTTATTTTTACTTAACTATTCAAAAATTTAAACCGTGCTAAGCAACGTCGTTAACTGGTATTACTTACCTACTTATTTTACAATATTTTAACAAGGTACAAAATGAGGTAATATTCGTACATGTGCTTAAATTCTGAACAAATTCAATTGAGATAATATTTTGTGTCTTCCCGAGTGAAACTACCTACATATTTTTTAATCAGTCTAAATACTTAAAGTAAGTAAGGATTTGCAATGCAATCCCATAAATCATTCCAAGGTTATTACAATATTTTATTAATGTGTGTGTACCTAATAATTGAGACGTTTCTTAGCACGGCTTATCTACCCCCCTAAGATTATTAACATTTTGGTGGACAGTACAAAAATTACTTCCCAAATGACACTACCTACATTGCTGTCAATGTAAAACGAGTAA